GTAATAAACAAATAATTTGTGCTGAATAAATAAATATTATGAGCTTACACAAAGTCCTGCCATTAAATAACCATAAACTTTGAACAAGCTTGAACAAGCTTAGTAGCGGGACATGTGTTTGTTATACGAAAGTAGAGTATGGCTGCAGAGCACGTACAAAATACAAAACGACGATAAATGGAATAAGTATTTGACTTCTGAAGTAAATTTATCTGCATTCTGTCAGCCAAGTACTTACATTTTATCTGTCACGTACTTTCTCAAGTACTTGACAAGTAAATTCACTTGAAAAAGTTCACAAGTACTATCCTCAATACTTAACCCAAGTACTTGGCTCAAGTACATTCGATAGAGAAGTGTCCTGAATAAATCTGACGATCGTGGGTCTAGTACTTCTGTCTCTACCACTCAAGTGTTGAATGAAAATGCGAAAAGAACATGTTGTAGGGCGTTTAAGGACGAAAGACGTCGAGACAATTATGTATTCTATTCATCTTACAGATAGAAGACTAAGCTATATAGCTAGCAAGGAAACGATCAAATGTAAGAAAGCGGAAAACGCAGAATTTCACGTACGTTGTGTAAATTCAACTACAAACAGGAAATTAGAGCAGTATCTTTCGAATGCAACTGTCTGCTCAAAGACAATAAATTCAGTGTTAATTAGACAGTCTCATTTATATCATAATGATGTGAGTTATCGTGCAGCAGCTATAAATCATCAGTTAAAAAACTATCACACAGATTCGTCTCGCAATACGAAGATTAAACAGAGATCTAAAGCAGCCGTCGTTTAAGCTCACTAAACAATAAGTTCGATTCCGCTGCGCTAAGAAAAACCTGGCTGCAAGAGAGTAATTTAATTCACGAAACCACAGCTTTTTTTGTCGATTAAGTTAATTAAGAGTCGAGTCCTGTTCGTGGTAATGTCGGCCGTTCAAATGTCGGTCGCTCAAATGTCGGTCGCTCAAGTGTCGATCGCTCAAACGTCGGTTGACGTGTTGATCTGTTACCTTACAAGCAACGTGATACTCATGGTCTACTTCATTGTGTTCCACCTAATGTCAGCTCTTCTTCGTCAGTTGATAAATCAATGATAATTCCGTTTGAATTAAAAAGAAGGATTCAGTACAAGGCTGTATGAAAAAAACATTTATTAATCCAACGCATACTAGAGAGGCATTACAATGTTTTAAGATTATAAATGAGAATTATAAAGAGATAGAAATTAATGAAATTGATGATAATTATCTTGCAAATAATCCAGCTGTAATGAATAAGCAAGCTAGTGCTGATAATGGTGAGAATGAAACAACAGATGATACAACCGAAAGTGAAGGTAATGTTGTTGGTGAAGCAATGCAAGTAGATAATAACAATGATTATAATTTTGTTGATACACAAACTGTAGCCGATCATATTGTTGAAAGAAACGATGGTATGATAGTGTCCAAGAAAATCCTGTTGATGATGAAGCTGGAGCTTTAGAAAGTAATAGTGATTCAGATAGTGAAATACGATAGAAGATACGGAAGATCTTACTGTTGAAGCTTTAGCATTTTCTCATATCTTTCCAAATGGTAAAGGTACATTTAACAATCCGCCTGAGAAAAGTCTATCTTATTCTTTATACTGTTGTACGCGTCTTTTCAGTACTGATCCACGTTTCGCAGGGATGCTGCATATATTTTTTTTTCTTCAATATCTTAACGATTTAAAAAAAGCGTACTTAGGTGTATCTGTTGCTTTAAGAAAACCATTTTCCGGTAAAGATCGTATAACTGTTGGACAAGTAAGAAATGAATAAAGTTTCAGACACTTGATGAGAAATGATATGGTGTTTAGACATTTACAGATGTAAGAGGAAGTCCGCAGTACGAGCAACATGTCTTGAAAGATCTTTTTGGCTACATCAGACAATTAAATACGTCTACATTTTTTGTCACTCTTTCATGTGTTGATATGTTTTGGAAAGATTATCTTAATGCACTAGCTGGACATAGTATGATAGGTGTAAAAGATGAATATACGCATGCAGAAAAAGAAAATTTAATTCGGCGTAATCTTGTTCTCGCCGCCAGACTGTTTTCTGAGACCATTTTTGTGCATTTTTTAATCATCGACAGGTTTCAATAGTTACATTTACAAAATTTACAAATACATTTCTTAACTTTCACATCTGTTCACGTATCGATAAATTATTTTCTCGAGCTTCTTTTAAGGTAGTTTATCTCCCGTTCTGGCTTGGTTGTATAAGAAGCTAAATATTTTGCACAACCATAAGGATCTAAGATAAATTGAATATCAATATTTACTTTCCATGCTCGTGACATTCCTTCATTATACTGATTACTCCAGCGAGCATTTGGTGCACGTTTATATAACATAGTAGATCTTTTATGCACAACT